AAAAATACCTAACAACACTTTAAATGTATATTAATGTATGCTAAATATATCTTCATGGTACATGATCATCATTTCTAACTTTCCAAAGAGTAATTTATTTAAACTTCATATAAGATCTAATTAGTGTACTAACCCCTATAAAATCTCTATTTTGGAACACGTAAGGTCTAATCTCTTTAATATTCATACTATGTTAGTGCATGATGCAAATATTCATTAAAACAAAAATAATAAAAAATTTAATATTCCTTGAAATATGTGAGTTAATCCCTATTAAAAAATTGAATTTTTCGAAAAATGCTATCTATAATTTTTTAGACACATTAGTGCTGTTTAAAAATACCTAACCACACTCTCAATGTATATTAATGTAGGTTAAACATGCTTTCATGGTACATGGTCATCATTTCTAACTTTCCAATGAGTAATTTTTTAAAACTTCATATAAGATCTAATTAGTGTACTAACCCCTATACAATTTCTATTTTCTAGAGAAATGTGAACATATAAGGTCTCAAACCTCTTTAATCTTCATACTAGGCCTTATAATGAAGAAAATATGCATTAAAACAAAAATACAAAATTTTCTAATTTTTCTTGAAATATGTGAGTTAACCGTTATGAAAAAATTGAAATTTTTGAAAGATGCTATCTACAATTTTCAATACACATTAGTGTTGTTTAAAAATACCTAACCACATATTAATTTAGGCTAAATATATCTTCATGGTACATGTTCATCATTTCTAACATTCCAAAGAGTAATTTATTTAAACTTCATATAAGATCTAATTAGTGTACTAACCCCTATAACATTTCTATTGTCTAGAGAAATGGAAACACATAATGTCTCAAACCTCTTTAATCTTCATATTAATCTTGAGAATGATTCAAATATGCATTAAAACAAAAATACGAAATTTTCTCATTTTTCTTGAAATATGTCGGTTAACCCCAATGGAAAAAATTGATTTTTTTTGAAAAATGCTACTTATAATTTCTTAGACTTAAAAATACCTAACCACACTCTCGTGTATATTAATGTAGGCTAAATATGTTTTCATGGTACATGGTCATTGTTTCTATCTTTACAAAGAGTAATTTGTTTAAACTTATAAGATCTAATTAGTGTACTAACATCTATAAAATCTTTATTTTGGAAAAAGTAAGGTCTTAAACCTTTTAATATTCATACTATGTTAGTGCATGATGAAAATATTCATTAAAACAGAATTACTAAAATTTTTAATATTTCTTGAAATATGTTAGTTAACCCTTATGAAAAAATTGAATTTTTCGAAAAATGTTATCTATAATTTTTTGGACACATTTGTGCTGTTTAAAAATACCTAACCACACTCTCAATGTATATTAATGTATGGTAAACATGCTTTCATGGTACATGGTCATCATTTCAAACTTTCCAATGAGTAATTTATTTAAACTTTATATATAGTCTAATTAGTGTACTAATTTCTATAAAATTTCTATTTTCTAGAGAAATGAGAACATATAAGGTCTCAAACCTCTTTAATATTCATACTAATCCAGATAATGATGTAAATATGCATTAAAATAAAAATACGAAATTTTCTAATTTTTTCTTGAAATATGTGGATTAACCCCTATGAAAAAAATTGAAATTTTTGAACAATGCTATCTACAATTTTCTAGACACATTAGTGTTGTTTAAAAATACCTAACCACACTCTAAATGTATATTAATGTAGGCTAAATATATCTTCATGGTACATGGTCATCATTTCTAACATTCCAAAGAGTAATTTATTTAAACTTCATATAAGATCTAATTAGTGTACTAACCCCTATAACATTTCTATTTTCTAGAGAAATTAGAACACATAAGGTCTCAAACCTCTTTAATCTTCATATTAAGCTAGAAAATGATTCAAATATGCATTAAAACGAAAATACAAAATTTTCTCATTTTTCTTGAAATATGTGGATTAACCCTTATGGAAAAATTGAATTTTTGAAAAATGCTATCTATAATTTCTTAGATACATTAGTGTTGTTTAAAAATACCTAACCACACTCTTGATGTATATTGATGTAGGCTAAATATATTTTCATGGTACATGGTCATTATTTCTAACTTTCCAAAGAGTAATATAAGTTTAAACTTCATATAAGATCTAATTAGTGTACTAACCCCTATAAAATCTTTATTTTGGAAAACGTAAGGTCTTAAACATCTTTAATATTCATACTATGTTAGTGCATGATGCAAATATTCATTAAAACAGAATTACTAAAATTTTTAATATTTCTTGAAACATGTGCGTTAACCCTTATGAAAAAATTTATTTTTTCGAAAATGCTATCTATAATTTTTTGGACATATTAGTGCTGTTTAAAAATACCTAACCACACTCTGAATGAATTTTAATGTATGGTAAACATGCTTTCATGGTATATGGTCATCATTTCAAACTTTCCAATGAGTAATTTATTTAAACTTCATATATAATCTAATTAGTGTACTAACCTCTATAAAATTTCTATTTTCTAGAGAAATGAGAACATATAAGGTCTCAAACCTCTTTAATGTTCATATTAAGCCAGATAATGATGCAAATATGCATTAAAACAAAAAAAAACGAAATTTTTTAATTTCTTTTGAAATATGTGGGTTAACCCCTATGAAAAAATTAAAATTTTCGAAAACTGCTATCTATAAATTACTAGACACATTAGTGTTGTTTAAAAATACCTAACCACACTTTAAATGTATATTATTGTATGATAAATATATCTTCATGGTACATGGTCATCATTATAACTTTCCAAAGAGTAATTTATTTAAACTTCATATAAGATTTAATTAGTGTACTAATCCCTATAAAATTTCTATTTTCTTGAGAAATTGGAACACATAAGGTATTAAACCTCTTTAATCTTCATACTAAGCTAGAGAATGTCGCAAATATGCATTATAACCAAAACACGAAATTTTCTAATTCTTCTTGAAATATGTGGGTTAACCCCTATGAAAAAATTAATTTTTTTGAAAAATGTTATCTATTATTTCTTAGACACATTAGTGTTGTTTAAAAATACCTAATCGCACTCTCAATGTATATTAATGTAGGCTAAATATATTTTCATGGTACATGGTCATTATTTCTACCTTTCCAAAGAGTAATTTGTTTAAACTTCATATAAGATCTAATTAGTGTACTAACCCCTATAAAATCTCTATTTTGGAACACGTAAAGTCTAAAATATCTTTAATATTCATACTATGTTAGTGCATGATGCAAATATTAATTAAAACAAAAATACTAAATTTTTTAATATTTCTTGAAATATGTGAGTAAACCCCTAGGAAAAAATTGAAATTTTTAAAAAGCTATCTAAAATTTTTTAGATACATTAGTGTTGTTTAAAAATACCTAACAACACTCTCAATGTATATTAATGTATGGTAAACATGTTTTCATGGTACATGGTCATCATTTCTAATTTTTCAATGAGTAATTTATTTAAACTTCATATATAATCTAATTAGTGTACTAACCTCTATAAAATTTCTATTTTCTAAAGAAATAGGAACATATAAGGTATAAAACCTCTTTAATCTTCATACTAAGCATTATAATGATGCAAATATGCATTAAAACAAAAATACGAAATTTCCTAATTTTTCTTGATATATGTGGGTACCCCTATGACTGTTTGACCTTAACTCTTAAGTACGCCTAGATGACAATTTGATCTTCATTTCAGAAAATATATTTATATACAAACAGGGATCTTATGAATATATTAAGACAACTCATTTTACAAGTTCTTTTGCAAGATTTAAACCCAGTACAAATCTAGTCTTTTTTGGTAAAAGAGTATTTATTTTGGTACATGAGAAAATAATTTCTTCGTTAAACTGAAGAATAAACTTTACTTCTTTTTTTTTGTCACCCTTCGAAGAATAATAAACTTTACTAAATAGTAAAAATAAACTAATAGAAGAAATTTGATGATTCCTCGTTGGTGTCGTGTGTATAAATTTCGAGAAAGACGTATTTTTATGCCTAGGAAAACAATTATTAACACAAGTATGGTATGAGACATTTAAGGAATATCTAATGGTACATCAACTTCAAGGAAAACATAAAAAATGAAAAAAAAAAATTCCTCTAATAGTATGTCCTTTTAAAACAAAAACAAAAATATAAATAATAACACATTAAATTTGATGGAATAATATCTATAATCTCAGTTTACTGTTAAACCATTTATTATAAATTGATCCTTAAAATTTTAATAGTTTTGTTTATATCTAAAAAGATGAATATGTGTTTTATACTTTAACAAAATTGTTATTACTTTCCTTAATACAATTATAAATTCATATAAATCATTAAATATTCTATTAAAAATGAAATTTAAATATATAATAAATATTTAGTTAAAACAACACTACTGTTGCGTAAAACTGTACAATTTAAAAAATAAAAAATATTATTCAGTTTAATAATAAGTATATAAAAAAAATTGGAAATTCTTTTTTCAAGAAAAAAAGAGATCGAAGAGCTACTGGAAAAAAAAATTAAACTCATATTAAATTTACAATCATCTTGGAAAAATAAAATAAACGTAACTATTAGAAATGACTTTCGAGCAACTATGATAATATTTAAAAGATTATATCGTCTTAAAAAAAAAGAAATACGAAAAGTATGTAAAGGTGTTCTAATTTTTAAAGCAATAAGAAATTTTGAAACCGTTTGTCTCTTAATTTGTATCAATAATTCTATTAATACTAAATTATGGAAATATTTTCATATATTACAATAAATGATCTTAGATCGACTGAACTAATGAAGCATCTATGATTAGATGTTTCCTCTTAGATGTAATTCCATACTCGATTTAATTTCACTCATCATTGTTTTCAAAACCAAACGTATGACTAATCGACGGGTACTCTCGCCATGGAATGGACAGAGCTATCACTGCCATATCTTAGAAAATAAGGACTTATAAACTAAAAAAGTTTGTCTTATTAAATGAGATTGTTGGAAGACACACAAAACAACATCGTATACATGACTAAGCCGAGTAGTGCAACGACAGGTAAAGAGATCATTAAATAGCTTTAATTGATGGGAAGAACATGGACCCCAAGTTGATGAAGCATGTTACTTGATCTTCCATGGAACCCAACGATCTTGTGTCCACTCTTATGGAGTGTGAAGCTTGATGTTGAACTGAATCCAAAAACCCTAGATGAGTTGGGTCTGTTGGTAATGAACCTAAGCATGGTTATAACTCCAGATTTATCATCATAGTCACCCTCCACTGATGTGAGATACTCCGTAGGATCATCTATTGTGAACTGAAAACAATAAAAAAGAAAATGAAAGATAATGATTAGTTGAGACCATATTTATTATCTATATCTATAAAGGATACTGGAATTGAGTCAGTGACCTCTTGGATATCGGATAGGGTCTTGCTCCCATGATCATCACCGAAGACTATACGATCATCGTGTTGGACATACATAAACTTGACAGAAGCTATAGCGTTTTGGGTTAGTCCAATGTATATCTTTCCAATACCGATGAAAGAATTACCGTCGTCCCAATAATCTCCTCCATCGCCACCTTCTTCTTCTAGTTTCTCTGTATCAGGAGGTAGAGGGAAGGGGCGATAATATGCTCCTAGAGCAAGAAGTGCTCCATCATTTACCTTTCCATGGAACCCAACGAGGACATTACCTGGTTTCTCAAGCACAAATCTGCTTCCTAATCTCACATCTCCAAATGTCGGAGATGTTCTCCCTTTTGATGTTTTGATTGTCAACGAACAAATAAAGCTTCTTTCATCTATTGACCCCTCCACAGACGTGATAAATTCATTTGGATAATCGATCACAAACTGCAGCAGAGAAAAAAAATTCATATACAGTATAACCTCTTTAAATTAGTACTCTATAGATTATTATACACTAAATATCTCTATCAAATAATATAATTTTATAGTTCCAAATTGAGTTTTTGGTTCGATTAATATACCAGTAAATTAATTAAAAAAATATATTTTTGATATATTCTCAATATTATTAATTTATAAAAATTTCACTTTAGACTGAAAGGAATTATGACCTCTTCTTCTCTTTCAACGGACCCCCACCGGCGATTATTCTTAATTTCTTTGCCTCTGTTCTCGTACTCGAACCTGATACATGCTATATAACTACTTCTAAATGCATCAACAATCACAGTTCTTATGCCGTCATAACCAGAACCATCATCCCAACTTAATCCCTGTTTACTACTATCACCTACACCTTCCAATTTACAAGGAATAGTCGTGAAATATGCTCCAATAGAAATAAGCGCACTCTTGTCTGCATATCCATGAAACCCAATTATCTTATTTCCATTGGTTGCAACTGTAAACTTCCTACCTTTGGGATATCCCATCATTTCAAGTGTCCTCGTGTTAGTTCTGAACTGAATCCCTTGAATGACTCTTGAATTCTCATCATAGTAACCCTCAACAGACACTAGATATTCATCTTTGAGCTCATACTGCAAAAAGTTGTTAAAATATACCAAAGATTACAAACAATAATAGACTCAGATATATAGAGGGAGTTTAATTTTATAGTTACTTACCGTCACTGGGTAACCTCCAGTAGAGATACCACGGAGTGGCCCTCTTTTCAGTTCTCCATTCCTTACATAGGTAAACTGCATGGAGTGTATGCCTCCATAACCACCTCGCACATGAATCATTGATACATCTTCATGCTCATATCCATCATCCCACGCTTTGCCTCCTTTTCCGCCCTTTGCTTCCACTCTAGTTGGAGTTATCCAATTGAAATATGCTCCAAGAGAGGTGATTGAATTATAGGCAGACCCGTGAAACCCAGTGATCTTCTTCCCTTTGACTGCTAGTGTAAAAGCCTCCCAACTTGTCTCTCCCATAGGCATAGGCATTATAGGTCCAATAGTTTTGAAGTTACTTTGGAATGCAAGTGAATAAATACCATAGTTGCTGTTGTAAATACCACTTACAGATTCAAGATGTTCATTTTCTAGAAGGTTAATCTCAACCTGCAAAAAAAAATGGTGAACAACGAACCAAAACTCAACATTGTCCAAATGAATTCCTAATGAAGGGACTTGCATAGGAATAGAGAAAAAAAATATTTATAGGCATACCACAAAAGCTGGCACACCATGGAATGATCCTTCTATTGATTTTCCACTCTTGACGTAATCGAAATAAACACAATGTATGTATCTACTTCCACATCCTATATATATCTTTGATACACCATCATGGTCTCCATCATCCCAGTTACCGTTTTGTAAGTAGATCCCTTTTGCTTCCAACCTTTCTGTCATCTCGATCTGATTTCAAGTATTGTGTTTCAGTGTCAACTGTTGCATCAATACTGGTGTAGATTAACTCAAGACTAACATAGATAATGATGACTTGTCCAATTCCTATAATAACTAGTGTTGATCTCACATATAGTTTAGCGACTTTTGTGTATAAATAGGTTTGTTGACTGATCTAATCAGACAAGTCAAGTTCAATACACAATTCTACAAATCCTTAGGTATTGAAATTTAAAAGAAAACATCATTTTCAAGACAAGGATCGAACGTGATAAATTGAAAGAAAAAACCATTTGCAGAAACATAGAAACGGGGAAAGACCAAGTTTCTAAGTACTTGCAACTAATACCTAATAATTAACAGTCGGAGATATTGCTTGTTCTACGATTTTAATAACATCCTAGCTACGCTATACAATGATTTCATCACACCTTAAGGCTATGAATTAATGAGAGTGGGAGAGACCGAGAGATAGAGAGATCTGACCTGTAATGGTTAAGAGAGAGATATAATGGACAAAGAGGCTATGGTGGTCAATAAGCTAACAGATGGGTTTCTTTTATAAGCAGGTTTCGGTTATTCTATGAATATACAATACATAATCTGAACAAGTGGTTTCCAAGGAAATATATGAAAAAAATTCTTGCAGGAGGTCGATTTGCGTTTAGAAAAATGCCATGACAGATAGGGCATATTTGTTTTTGTTTAATGTTAAAATATGTATATTTTTTTGTGGACAATATCTGATTCATAATCAATCTTACAATATGAAGAACATAATTTAGTTGAGTAGAGTTCCGGTGAAAGAAGATTATATAGATAGGTATTTTTCTGTTCAAAAGAAAAAACATAGGTATTTAATTACTTGACAAAAACAACTTCATCATGTTAAATTATGCCTGTTAAATCAACTTTATTGAATACGATTTTGGGATACAAATTCGAATTTTTCTTTGCACAAATCCACATGCCCATACAACGGAACCCTCACGTAACGAGGGCATATTACCCGTTTTAAACTTGTTATACTCAACCCATATTCATTTTAAAAAATGTATCTATCTCTTGGTTGTGGTAAATATCATAGTCTTATTACTCATACATATATATATATATATATATATATAGGATAGTTTTTAAGCATCGTCTAATTTTCAGGTAATTTTCAAGTATTCGTGTGAAATCTCATTAGTATATTACATATATCGTGTGAAATCGTGAAAATATTTTGTTGATTTTGACATACCAGCCTACCAAAATATTGTCATATGACCGTGGTGTTGAGGGTTCGGTCAATCAACAAACTAGTTCTAATAAAATAGTTTGTAGATTTTGACATACCAACCTACCAAAATATTATCATATGACCGTGGTGTTGAGAAGTCAGTCAATCCACATACTATTCTTTTTAGACCAATTTTTTTGTTATGGAAACAAAATATAATGCATTGCAATGAAGTTTAAAATAAGTAACATACATGAAAATCATAGAAATATTGAGACATAACATAACTCATTTTTACTATCCAACATAAGACTTCTAAAACAGGATGATGGAGGTAACGAATATCCAAAGAAATATGTTTCCTTATATGTAAACTGTGAAATTTTTATTTGGACAATTAAATGTATGGAGTCTCTATAGTTTTCAGAGGCAGTATTCTCTGAACTGGTGAAAAAATGTTACACCGATGGAATGATCAGCTTTAATATTTACAGTTAGTTCAACGGTGTAAATTTTTTTTTTTCTCATTTCTTAATCTAACATATACAAATAACAAAAAAAAACACAACAACAGACAAAGTTGCACAAAGTGCTCTAAGTTATGTTTTCACTTAGCACCCGTTTGGTTTTATGAATTGCTCGTTAATTCTGTCTACCCTATGTAGTTTTAGTTATTGTTGGAAAATATCAGTTTTAAAAGTTTTAAACTCCCAATATACCACCTTCATATTTACGTTTTAAAGCTTGTTTTATTTATTTTGGTACATGAAAAGGGAAATTTGCTCTTATTTTAAGAAACTTCCCAAAATAAAGAAAAAACTAATAAAACAAAGGGCAAATCTCCAAAATAGCACTTTTCTAAGTTTATGTCACAAAAATAGCCCTCAAAAACTAAAATGATCAAAATAGCATTTTATCTTTTGAAAATCTTAAATTTTTTTCATTTTTAAAAATTTGAAACCCTATCCCCAAAACCCCACTCCTCAACTCTAAACAAAAAAGTCTAGGATTAATTAACCCAAGAGATATAAATATATATTTAATAAAATATTAAGTGCTATTTTAGTCATTTTTATTCTCAAGTGCTATATTTGTGATAAAAAAAATTTTAGTGTTATTTTAGTCATTTTTTCTAAAAAACAAATTTGCTGATTTCTTGTTCGTGTCATCGTGTGTATAAATTTCGAGGAAGACGTGTTGTTTTTAACGTAGGACTATAGTTTTTTTTTTGAAAAATCGTAGGACTATAGTTACTAATATAATTGTGGATTGAGACATTTAAGGAGTAGTTACGTACTTATGAACGAAAAGTCTGAAAAGGTGTTCTCATTTTGATATAACACTTGCTAATATAATTAATTATATTAAAATATTAATATTAAATTATTGAAACATTTTTCATGAATTTTATCGATAAGGATGTTCTTAAATCGACCGAACCAACGAAGTCTAAAGTCTGATTGGACGTTCCCTCTAGTTTTTCAGACTCATTATTGTTGTCAAAACCAAAGTCGTCATGGGATGGGCCGGAGCTAAATCAATTGGAACTTCGGCAGATCTAAAATGTTGTGTTTATATCATCATGGGAATGTAACTAGGATTCGCTCTTCTACAAAGCTTCATAACAAGATTGAGATTAGGATTCACTGTTAGTTATATTAGAGTATCAATGGTGGACTCCATTAAGGAGTCCTTAGTCATTATTTTACTAATTTTTTTTTTGAATTGAATAGTTAAAGATTTTAAGCTAAAAATTTAGTCGGATTCTATTTAGGAGTCCTTAAAAAAAAAATTATACTGCTGGTGGAAAAACATGATTAAGGACTTGACAATTAACAAATTTAAGTATGTACCTGAGTACCTCCAAGCCCAGGAATAACACCGAGTTGCAGCTCAGGTAAACCTAGCTGTGCACCAGGAGATGATATCCTAGCATGGCAAGCATGACAAAGTCATACTATTCTATCAACATCCATCTAAAAAAAGGAAAATGCTCACCAGGCTCAACAATCTCAAGACAATTTATTAAGAGGGAAAAGGAATACATAAAAACAATACCATTGCAAGTTCTAACCCTCCTCCCAAGGCAAGCCCATCAATGGCTGCGACAGACGGTTTGCTTGCAGCTGAAATCCAATGAAATAAATCGAACACTCAGAAACACATCATGATAACCATTGCATAAACTAGTTAATTCAGTACGTTAGAAAGATAACCTTCAAACAAATCGGTTAAGATGTCAACTGATAAGTATCCAACCTTCTGCTCTTTCCCTGATAAAATCAATACAAACATTAATACATAACACTAATACAATCAAACAAAGACACCAAGACAAAAAAAAAACATACTAGTCCCTTTCTGAACTTCACCAAAACCAGATATATCAAATCCACCAGAGAACTTCCCCTTCTCACCTGCAGTAAGAAGAAGAAAAAAACAAACAAAGGCCATCATCTCCAAAGTTTGTATAAACAAAACATGTTATGTATTTTGGTGATGAAGAAAATGATTTTCAGTGAGGAACAGTGTGTTTATGCTCCGTTCAAAGACTGCCAAAATAACCGTGAGGATAAGTATGAGAAAAGAAAAAAACGAAACGATCGTATTAGCATATACCAGTATTTCAGTCCTTCGAGATTTCCTTAGTAAGTTGCTCCTCTTCTTCATCATCTGAAACAATTACAGAAGCAAATACATAAGTCACAAAAGAATCAGAAAAACGGTGTAAGACCACAATGAAAACGTTGCCCATATCAACATACACCAAGATCCATAGAAAGAGGTGAAATAAGAAAAATAAAATAGCATGGACCCTAATCGATTGAAAACCCAAAAACTAACCCTAAATTGACAGAAGAACAACATGGAACCTAATCGAAATCCATAAATCTGCAAGGGAAGGCTTCAGTTTACCTTGGTATCATAACGGATCAAAATTGCCGTCGAGAGCTTTTTTTTTTTCTCTGCTTCGGTCGAAAATGACTTTTTTTTCCAATATGAAACACAAGAGCCCAACCACCGAATCACACACTGCCACGTCCTTTAAGGATCAAATCATTAAAATCCTTATTTACGGATCCTTAGATTACATAGCCCTAATAATATTATTCTATTCAGCTAACCCTAGGATTAACCGCTAAGGACTCCTCACGTTATCCCGTTGTGGGTGCCCTTATATCCTCATGGGAATGAGACAGGTGCTACGTCACTACTAATATATAATTTGAGGTTTTGTAATTATCTGGGCACTATTAAGCTTCTACCTGTGATCTGGACAGGTGTCTACATTTCTGTTGGAAAAATATGCCTAAAATTTTAGGGCATTTTGTAAACATACAGATATGAAAAAACTGTGGCTAGCAATCCATCGAATGTTGGGAGGCATCAACGCTTTGTGAAATGCAATGCCTTAATATTTGAGAAAATAAGGACTTAATTAGAAAAGGCTGTCTTTAATAGTAAATGAGATTGTGGGAAGACAAGCAAAACAACATTGTAAACACCAAGCTGAGAAGTGCAACAGATAAGAGATCATTACAGAACTCAACTGAAGTTGGTGGGAAACACACATAAAACAACATTGTAAACACCAAGCGAGAAGTGCAACAGATAAAAAGATCATTAAAGAATGGGAAGAACATGGACCCCAATTTGATGAAGCATGTTGCTGGATCTTCCATAAAACCCAACGATCTTATGTCCATCCTTCTTGAGTAAAAAGCTTGATGTTGTACCGACTCCAAAAACCCTAAAGTTGCTTATGATGTTGGTATTGAATCTAAGCATGGTTATAACTCCGGATTTATCATCATAGTTACCCTCCACTGAAGTGAGATATTCCATAGGATTACCCAGTGTGAACTGAAAACAAGAAAAAAAAAAAGAAGGATAATAATTAGTTAACAATGTATTATCTAAATAGCTGTGAGTTAACTGAATCAATGACCTCTTCGAGATCAGATAGCAAGGTCTTGTTCCCATGATCATCTCCCAAGGAAAAACGATTGTTTTGGACGTACGCAAACTTGACAAAACCTACAGCGTTTTCGGTTCGTCCAATGAATATTTTTCTTATACGGTCGAAAGCACTACCGTCGTCCCAATAATCTCCTCCATCACCACCTTGTGCTTCTAGTTTCTCGGTATCAGGAGGAGGAGGCAAGGGGCGATAATATGCTCCAAGAGCATAGAGAAAATATTCTTCTTTTCCATAGAACCCAACAAGGATATTCCCTGGTTTCTCCAGCACAAATCTGGTTCCAGAACTAACATTTCCAAATGTCGGAGAGGTTCTCCCTTTTGATGTTTTGATTACCAAATAATTTAAGTTATCTTGGAATGAACCCTCCACAGACGTGATAAATTCATTTGGATAATCAATCACAAACTGCAACAGAAAATAAAGTCCGTATTTATGAGCTACTCAAGAACACTACATTATTTTTATGGAAAATAATAAAGAATAATGAAATGAATAAATTACCTCTTGTAATTCCTTTGCTGCAGGGAATCTCCGTTGATGACTCTTAATGACTTTGCCTCTGTGTTCGTACTCGAAGCTGATAAACTTTACCGATGTCGTATCTGCATAAACCAACACCTTTCTTATGCCGTCATAACCAGAACCATCATCCCAACTTATTCCCTTTCGGATAATACCAACGCATTCCAATTTACAACTAGTTGTCGTGAAATATGCTCCAATAGAGATGAGCCTCTTGTCTGCATATCCATGAAACCCAACTATCTTGTTTCCATTGGACGCAACTGTAAACTTCCTACCTTTGGGATATCCCATCATTTCAAGTGTCCTCGTGTTAGTTCTGAACTGAATCCCTTGAATGACTCTTGAACCCTCATCATAGTAACCCTCAACAGACACTAGATATTCCCCTTGGAGATACTTAATCTCATACTGCAAAAAAAAAAGTTGTTATAATACTACTAAAGATTACAATATACTCAGATAGAGGCAGTTTTAATTAATTACTATGATATAGTTACTATGATATATACCGTCATTCTGAAACCTCCACTAGCACCATGGAGTGCCCCTTTTCTCAGTACTCCATTTCTTACATAGTCAAATTGGATGGACTGTATGCCTCCATAATCACCTCGCACATGAATCATTGTTACATCTTGCTGGTCATAACCATCATCATCCCACTCTTTGCCTCCCTTTCCACCCTTTGCTTCCACTTTAGTTGGAGTTATCCAAGTGACATACGCTCCAATATTGTATACTATCTGACCACCAGATCCGTGAAACCCAATGATCTTCTTCCCTTCGAGTGCTAGGTTAAACTTATTCATTTCACTCAGTCCTCTATAGTCTCCCCTAGGCGTTATTGGTCCAAAAGTCCTGAAGTTACTTGTGAATACAAGTGAATAAATACAATCCTTGTCGTAAGTACCACTTACAGATACAAGATGTTCATTTTCTAGAAGGTTAATCTCAACCTGCCAAAAAAAAACAATTGGTGAAACATAGAACCGACACTCAGCATTCTCCAAATGAATTCCTAATGAAGGGGCTTGCATACGAATAGGCATATACCATATTAGCCAGCGGACCACAGCGTGATCCTTCTATTAATTTTCCACTCTTGACGTAGTCGAAATAAATTGTACGTATACACCATCATGGTCGTGTCCATCATCCCAATTAAGGCCGTAAAGGAAGGCCCCTTTCGCTTCCAACTTTTGGGTCATCTCCAACTGATTTCAGTATTCAGCTGCACACGAAGAGTATTATGTTTCAGTGTCAACTTTTGTATCATTATAAACTCAAGAATAAGATGAATAACGATGACATGTCCTACTCCTATACTAATTAGTGTTGGTTTCCCATATAGTTTTATCGAATTTTGTGTTTAATTATCAAGAGTGATCCTTGTGTATAAATAGGTTTGTTGGCTGATCTAATCAGACAAGTTACAGAACAAATTCTAGCTACGCTTACAATGATTTCATTACACCTTACGGCTATCAAATGAGAGAGAGAGAGGGAGAGAGAGAGAGAACTGACCTCTAATGGTTGAGAGAGAGATATAATGAACAAAGAGGCTATGGTGGTCAATAAGGTAAGAAATGGGTTTCTTTTATAAGCAAGTTTTGGATCTTTTATGAATATACAATACATAATCTGAAGAAATTGGTTTCGAAGGAAAATATGGAGAATTTTCTTTCATGAATTCCATTTGCGTTTAGATAAGGCCATGACACATAGGGCATATATACTTTTTTGTTGTTAAATACTAAATTATATATTTTGTCGACAATTTCCAGTTCATAATCAACCTTACAATACGAAAAACATTTTCCTGCACCATAATAGCAGTGATAATTTTTTAATATTTAACTTATTTAAAATAAATTTTGTTATTTATATCAATTTTTAATATACATTTTTTAATTAAACGTGAAATCAAGATAAAATAAAAAACTTGATATATTTTAAATTATAATAAGAATATTATTTATATATATAAATTATAATTTTAGATAAATTTTTATTTATTTCATTGGATTAAAATATATGAAATAAACATTTATAAAATTAGAAAAATCATAATATAAAATTATATAGTTATCAAAAAATAAAAATATACAGAATTTCTAAATTTGAAGATATCAAAAGGAAATAAAAGGTATTGCTTAGAAAATTATATTTTCTTAAAAATATTGTATAAAATTTTAAAAATCTTGTTTGATAATAAAATTGTAGGATTATAAAAATAGACTAAAATAATATTTTAAAATTTGTAAAATATTTTATTATATATATATGATAGTTATTATATATATATGATAGTTATTATATATATATGATAGTTTTCAAGCATCGTCTATTTTTCAGGTAATTTTCAAGTATTATCCATGTGTCCGCGTTAGTATCCGACCTTTTTTTTTTTTTTGGTCAACACGTTAGTATCCGACCTATAATACTTATTTCTAAGAAATTTCATTATATCATGTGAAATCGTGAAAATATTAGGTTAATTTTGACATACCAGCCTACCAAAGTATTATCATATGACCGTGGTGTTGAGGGTTCGGTCAATCCACATACTATTCTAAATTTCTAATAAAATAGTTTGTAGATTTTGACATACCAACCAACCAAAATATTATCATATATATGACCGTAGTGTCGAGAAGTCGGTCAATCCACATACTATTCTTTTTAGACCAATTTTTTTAGTATGGAAATAAATTATAATGCATGGCAATGAAGTTTAAACAGTGAACTTACAAGAAAATCATAGAAATATTGAGACATAAGTACATAACTCATTTTTTACTATCCAACATAAGACTTCCGAATGACAGGATGATGGAGGAAATAAATATCAAGAAAATATGTTTCTTTATATGCAAAATGTGAAATTTTGATTTGGACAATTGAATGTATGGAGTCTCTATTGTTTGCACGAGTGCTCCACCTTATGTTATGTTTTACTTAGCACCATTTGGTTTTAAAAGTTGATGGTTAATTCTCTCTACTCTATGTAGTTTTAGTTATTGTTGAAAAAATCATCTTTAAAAGTTTTAAACTACCTATTACACCACCTTCATATTTACGTTTAAAAAGCTTGTTGAGAAAAAATATTATTTATTTTGGTATATGAAAAAATATTATTTATTTTGGTATATGAAAAAATTAATTCTTTTTCATTAAAAACTTAAGAATCAACTTCCCAAAGAAAAAGAAAAAAACTAATAAAATAAGTTTGCTGATTTCTTTTTCGTGTCATCGTGTGTATACATTTCGAGGAAGACGTGTTTTTAACGTAGGACGATAGTTACTAATATAATTGTGGATTGAGACATTTAAGGAGTAGTTAAATGCTTATGATAAGTATGAAAGGTGTTCCCATTTTGATATTACTAGGTGATTTTCCCGTGCTCATGCACGGGTATAAATATTCATAAAAGTAAAATTTTATAATTTATTGATATAATAATCAATTTATATGTATAATTTATATTAATAAATATTATATTATTCTAATTATACATATGACTTTGGATATATTATTGTCGGTTTAACTATTTTTTGGATCAATAATCGCTTTGGTTATCAATTTGGTATATTGGATAATATTTGTTTTTGGAATTCAGCTATAATATTTTTTATTGTAAATATAATAAAACTTTGATTAATTTTCTTATTTTCATTTCGGTTGGTTATTGTCTTAGATATGTAATATATTATAGTTAAATTATATATAACTTAATATATATATATATATATATATATATATTGTGCTTAAACTAAAATAAATAATAAGCTGAAATGTTTGATTCAAAATTACATAAATGAATATAATGATAATATTTTGAAGTCTCATGCATATATATAAATTCTAAAAAGAATAAATTGTAATTGGTTAATATTTTCTTTTTCTTTTTAATTTGTTTTGAGTCAACCTATAATTTATATGTATAAAATTAAATAGATTATTATTACTATAAAATTATATGTTCTTGTTGTAGTTAGATGTTTAATTTTGGATATAAATTAGATTGGTCGAGTCATTCATGTTGTGAATATATTATGTTAAAATTGAAGTATAATTACTTTTTATTTTAGTTATGTCCAATCAAATTAGTTATATTTATTGCTTAAATATACATCTATTTTCATAATATTTATTTATTCCTTATTTTAGTTAAGTAAAATCAAATTAGTTTTATTTATCGCTTAAATATATAAGTATTTTCATAATATTTATCAAATTATATGTTGATTTCTAAAAAATAATAGAAAATAAAGTGTAACTGATAAATTTTGGATGTTCATGAACATATATATTTTTATTATTTTGAAAATATATTATATGTTATTTAAAAATATATATTAATGGAGGTATATTACTATTTTGTGAACTTTCCTTTTTAATAAAGTCATATTATATACATATATTTCGTTTTTAAATCTGTTTTAAAATTTTAGAAATATTTCCTTTTTATTATATATGTTATTTGGAAAAAGTAAAAAAGAAACTAAATAAAAAAATTAATAATAAACTTAAAATCTAACAATTCATTAAGGGTATCTATGTAATCAACCATCGCGAAAGTTAACATGAGCACGACACGTAGGAAACTGACTTCTTAAAATTTTAGAAATATTTCTTTTTTATTATATATGTTACTTGGAAAAAGTAAAAAAGAAACTAAATAAAAAAAATTAATAATAAACTTAAAATCTAACAATTCATTAAGGGTATCTATGTAATCAACCATCGCGAAAGTTAACGTGAGCACGACACGTAGGAAACTGACTTCTCAAATAATATTATAGAGATAAGCATTTTGATGAAGATTTTTTACAATTAATTTTAACATAACACTTACTAATATAATTAATTATATTAAAATTTTAATATTAAATTATTGAAATACTTTTCATAAAGTTTATCAATCGATAAGGATATTGTTCTTAAATCGACCAAACCAACGAAGTTCAAAACCATGTTTATTGCATGTCTTTTAAATTGGATCTTTTAGCATACGGTTACTTAGTTTTTAACTAAAAACGCTAAGATACTTCCTTTAAATAAGAGATTTAAAAGACATCTCTTAACGATTTTAGTTAAAAATTAAAGGACCATACGTTAAGAGACATAATTTAAGGGACCTGATGCTAAGGTATGTGATTGGACGTTCCCTCTTAATTTTTCGGATTATTATTATTTTCAAAACCAAACTCGTCATCATGAATCGATAAGTACTCTCGTCATGGGATGGGCCGGAGCTAAGTCAATTGAAACTTCGGCTGATCTAAAATGTTGTGATTATATCATCATGGGAATGTCGCGGTGCTACAAAGCTTCATAATTAGGATTCTCTGTTAGTTATATCCTCATGGGAATGAGATTAGGGTTTGCTGTTCTAAAATGTTGGGTTTATATCTTAATTACCTTCATTTATCCTTCACTTTCAATTATCATTCACTTAAAAGCTCAAACATAATCCACACAAAATATTGGGTTTATATCTGTTTTGATAAGTGGCCACATTTTTTTTTTGCTTCCAGCCTTGTTAAACCTAGGAACGGCTCTGCTTGAGTGATCCATCAACTTTGGATTCACGATCTTTCACCATCAAATTCTCGGCAACACACTTCCACCGAAGACTCGATCTTTCCAAACAAGAAGAGGCAATCAAGATTCGGATAGTTCTTGGTAAGATTCTTGAATGCATCAAATATGCAATAAGAGATTCTTATATACACATCCATATGACCTCTTCTGATCAAAGCTTGGTTAATATTCATTAAAACAGAAATACTAAAATTTTTAATA